TCATTCCTGAGCGTATTTTCCGGCCAGACCTTATTGACTATTGACATTAACGGGTGTCTGAATACAACGTAATGTTATGTGTATTTGATATTTATTAAGAAGTTCACCACGATATATTACAGCAACAACTCAGTCTTCTGGTGGGTGTAGTTGGTTTCCATGGTTACCGTGTACAACTGAGATAACTCCTCCGCCAGGTATGTAGCCTACAAACAAACCTGCTGGCGTTGTATAAAAAATTCTCAAACTAATATTCGCCCAAACTCTAAGGGTGTTGATGGTTGCATGCTATGTTAAATTCCTCGCCTTGTAATATAAAATGCGTCTTGATGTAGTAGTAGTACTAGTAGTAGTAGTACTAGTAGTAGTAGTAGTAGTAGTAGTAGTAGTAGTAGTAGTAGTAGTAGTAGACATGATTTAAAATGTAAAAAAAAAAGAAATAGGCAAGAAGAAGCCGTGGAGGGTTTACTTTTAATATGCACTTTGTTAATTTACAGCCACAACGCAACAGCCAGGCGATTGCTATGGACTACCGCCCTGGTTCTGCTTCACTGGAACACCTCCACCGGCGACAACAACAGAAACAACGCCTACAGTAGCCCCTCCAACGACGACAGCAGGTGCAGATTAGTTTTTATAAATCAAATATTGATTTGTCCCTTAATTTCCTCCTTTAATGAAAAGCATACTGATGGGAATAATTGTTATATATATGTAAAGGGTAGGAAATTTTTTTGTAATCTATAGTGTACAAATATTTGTGTTTCAATATGTCTACTAAATGTGTTTTCGACAATTTATAATACATTGTTATACACCTTTACCATTGAATCTGGGCCGCTAAACTTTAACTCGTTGTTGCTCAACGCCTTAAAATCAAACGAAATATCATCGTGCCTGCTGGGGAGCATTCGAAAAGGGCGTGGGTTATATTTTAATAGGTCTCTGTTAATTTGCTATAAGGAATAATGGCACAAGTTTGACATATCTAAATTTCATGCTCATGTATGTGTTTGGGGTTGTTTTATTAAAAACTACCAGATGTTTTCGTCATCTTGTTTTTAAAATCGTTATCAAAGGCAACCACGTTTTTAAAACCAAGATAACAATCTATCAAATTTAAAGTATATTAGTGTGTAAGAGATAGATCGATCTATAGTTAGTACGATAGGCTCTGGGAATGGTCTTTTTGTCCGTGTAATGTAACAAAAAAAATGCCTAAAAGCTTTGAAAAATTTCCTAACAAAGGTTGCTGTCACTAAAGAACTTTCTCGCAGAGTATGGCCACCATACTTATTTTAAATCAGCAATCCGACAACAGCTTCACAAAGATTATAAACCAGTGATAGACATTCGTGTGCATCCCGCGACATAACTAAATTACTAGTACATTCAAACGACAAAAAAAAAAAACATCTACATGTAGCGGGGTATGTACCCAGTATATAGAACTCTTATGTTATTTACATCTCCATAATACATACCGGGTCTGTATTCCAGACAAATATACGCAAAACTATGCTGAACATTCATTTGTCTCATCTGGTATGTCTACAGGTTATTTTCTGTTGAAGCTTACTCTTCATATTTCACCTTTTAGCGGGATGCTCCACCTGTGATTGCTCTTATCTTCTCAATAAATGGCGGCAGTTTCAATGTGGTGAGTTTCCTCTCCTCTCTCCTTTACTTCATCTCTCTCTCACTCTCTCTCTCTCTCTCTCTCTCACACACACACACACACACACACACATTTCCTTTTTTGTCACTGTATTCTGGTAGTGCTGTCTCTGTAGTGACCTATTGAACTGTCATGCATTGTTGGTGCTCAAACGATTGGCCGTTTGTATCTGGTTGTTCATATACCCCCTGTAGAATATTTCCTTCGTTCAGATAATTTTTCTTTACAGCCATCTTTCAATCTATTCGTTTATCCATTTATTTATTAATTCGTCCATTTGATTATCTTATATAAGGCGGTTCTTACCCACCACAGTTGCAAGGTGTCTCGTTTGATGGGGGAGGTAAGTTTTCGGTTCATTTTATTTCGTATTATTATTATTATTATTTATTTATTTATTTATGGATACACAACGATTTAGCACAGTCCGAAAAAATGAAAATAATCAACATTTTGCGACAAAAATAGGAAAGTTTTCAATTTCTTCTCGATTGATTGATAAATGGAACACTTCACTGAATATATGAAACTTTTTCAAATGTTGACACGTGTAATGTATCACTGTTGCTATCGGGGAAGGGATGGCATCTGTTGTTTTGAATCTGGCTCGACAATTCGAGAGTGCTGGGGTACCATGTGCTATGAAATGAGTAGTGTAAGTGTTACTTCAGAAACAAAAATGTTACAGGTAGGTTGAATGATAGTCATTATTTGACTCGTGTCGTGCTTTATAAGCAGCAGAAGAAGTATGATTTATTGTAGTTGTTGTTGTTTTTCTTTTAATAATTTTTTTCGCATTTTTTCAGAATGCCACGTGTGTCCCTGTAACACGTGTAAATGTAATCTAATATCAGCCCAGTACAACTTGAACGGCTGCGGAGGAGGAGGTGAGTGGGCCGTACCATTACAGTGTGCCACGAATATAATTGTGCTCAATGATTTTTGTTGAATACGCCATAAAACTCAACCCTTCAACTCTTCCCAACTTGTATCCCAGAGTTGCCCCTAGCATGATTAACAAACAAAAAGGGTGTGAGTTTAGACACTTACGTTTGCCATAGAAATACTTGACAAATAAATATAAGGTATACTACATTTCGGAAAAAAAACATGTGCATTAGTCCTATGGAACGAAACAAGCTGATAAACAAGCCCTCTTCACAGAATGACATTGTACTAATATGTCCATGTTGTCCTTTTCTTTCTTTCATTCAAAGTAAGTGCTGGTAATGCAGTTCAACAGCAATTCCCATGGGCCTTCAACTCTCATCGACGTAAGAGGGGATCAATGTGTGATTGGCTACCAGCCTTCTGTCCTTACCATTCCACGTCACCACCATCGACAACACTGCCCTCTACAGGTGGGAACTTATACTGCACAAATTGAGATATATACATGTCGATAACCTTAAAACAATACGACACATGATTGCACTTCAGGTTTGCTAGCTGCACTTCAGTTAATATCGATTGTTGCTGCAGTTTTTTTTTTTTTTTTTTTTTCGTTTAATGAAAATGGAATTAATTCAGTGTTTGCGTTATTGAAGGATGCACGTTACTTCTTGAGTAAGCCATGTGTTCAAGATTCGAAGTTCGCTTTACAATAAGTATTAATTCAGGGGCGGACTGAGGCCGTCATTTGGGTCTTCCGGGAGACGGTCAGAATGTTTTCAAGTTTACCAGCACATTGACGTCCATCTAATTTTTTCTGTCAGTAGAATGTCAAAAATGGAGGATGGATCAACCAAGGTACCGGTAATTTGGATGACTGTCAGAAAATATTTCTGTATCCCCCCCCCCCCTCAATATATTTTTTAATCTTCCATGTGAATCTCCCATTGTTGTCATTGTACTCATTGTACTCCAGACTGCACTTCGTGTTCCTGCGCCTGGATAATAGGAGAATGGATTGCCAAGTCTTGTGGTAAGTTGAGAATGCTGTCAAGGATATTTCTACAAGTTAAATCCGCATGAAGACAATGAACATGTGGATTGATTTAGTCTTAACCCTCTACAAGTACTTCAAACAGCATTTTGTGTTTGCTATCGACTGTTCCTGGCAGTTTTCGAAACAAAACCATTGAACATGGAAATGGAGATTCATAGTATTGATCGATAAACAATGATCGAATAAATATTGCCGAGGAAATATTAGGACATACCACTTTGCCAGTGGGTGTCCGTGTGGTACATTTCTTACCAGCTGGTAAACTCGATATCATTTAATTATCCATGAAAGTTTAAAATACGTGTTATTGTTTTTTCAACAGGCGGAACCGTCCCTCCAGTGGCGCTACCTGGGAGTAAGTTAACTTTTCTGTTTGCAAGTTCCTGGTTGGAAATATATGTAATAACGAACATCATACGTGCTAGTATACAAAACCACAATGATCCTATATGATGCATCACCCATGATGCTGAAAATGGAAAGACGGATTATGAGTGGTATTATGCTTGCTATTTACTGGTATAGTACATCTAGGTTACAACATTTGAATTGAATGGAAACAAGGGTCGACCTTGACCGAGTTTCGGTTAGCCGCCAGTCATTTATCTTTTCTTTCATAAAATAAAATTAAAAATTAAATTAAAATGCTTTACATGTACCAGTACTAGCATTAATATGCCAATTGACTGTGTAGATGCATATTTCAAATATAGCCCATTATCTGATCAAAAGGACGATTGTTCAAGTATACAATATATTATATGAATAAGATTAATAACATTGTACAAACACACTGAATTGGAACCCGTTGTATTTTATATGGGTTATTACAAAGGTCAGTACACTCTGTTAAGAATTAACTCTTGAATAACTTCGTATTGCGTTAAGGTTGCAGCAGCTGCAGCTGTCCCACGTGCGAGTGCAATTTACTCCAGAAAATATTCTATCATGTGTGTGGTAAGTATCCAGATAATGCTTCACGTAGGTATACTAGTAGTCATTATTCACGCTGTATATTATTTTAAGTAAATCAAATATACTCGTTAGAGATATTCGGCTGTCCCTGTTTGCATAGGTATTTAATTTTGAATCCTGGTGTTTCTTTCATTACGTTTTGATGCTTTTTATTTCAGCTGGACAAACCGCACCACCTCCAACCACGCCCCCTCCAACAACACCGCCTCCGACCACGCCACCTCCAACCACGCCCCCTCCAACCGCGCCCCCTCCAACAACACCGCCTCCAACCACGCCCCCTCCAACAACACCCCCTCCAACCACGCCCCCTCCGACAACCCCACCTCCTTCTTGCTGCCCCAATCCAAACTTCCAATACGTGGGCAGTGTGTGTAATGACAATATCAATAATTGTGGTGGCTGCTTTTATGAGGACGCCGCGAGGGGAGCCATCTCTAGAACAGATGCTTCAGCCACCTGCACGAGCATGGGAGGACACCTGGCGGTGGTGACTACATACGACTGCTGGTTGGCATTGGAGGGATTCCTGCAGGGTGGAGGTAAGGGCATGGGTGACGAAACTGAGGGTCCGTAACAAAAAGTCGGTCTTCATTTAGTTTTAATGGTTAGGGTTAGCCTGACCTAAGTGGGTCAAGATCTAAAGCGAGGTTTATCTGTGCAAATACATGGGAGCGGACTCTATCGTGGAAGACACTGTCACGATTAACCGCTGAGACAGGAATGTTCTAGATTTACATGTAGGAATGGAAGTCCGGGATCCCATAGGATTAGTACAAGTTAGTGTTAGTCAGAGTTTTTGCAGAGGTTAGTATGTAGGCCGAATGTCACCTGTACAAAGTAAGGAGACACGGGCTAAGGTTCCAAGCGGACTACCATTTCTGTCACATCTGTATTTAACACTACATTTTAAGTATAAGGCCCTTTATAGTCTACTATCAGTCACTGCCTTTAATAGTGTAACATTCGCTGGAGGGTTAAAGTCTTACTGTGGCATTTGTCTTCAAAATCTTCCTATTTCTTTATTCGTTTTAATATTCTAGTATGATGATCTTAATTAGGAATATATTTTGCTTTTAGTGGTACCTTTTAGAATGTTGGAAATTAACATTTGAATATGACTCTTCTCCGTGAGCCCGTTATAAGGGCTGTCCCAAATACAGTGAATTGTTGCTGAGCATTTGAATTAAAGAAAATGTTTCAAATTGCTTGCTCATTGTTGACGCATAATTACACAGCTCATGTTTGCATTATTTTTTGTTTTCATTTGTATACGTAAGGTAAGTGATACGCTAGCATGCTAAAATGTTACAGTACACGTGCTAGTTTTTGTTACACTACTAATTTTTGATACAGGTTGAAAGTGCTGTATAGTTGTCACGCTCTGTTACTCTCTCCTCACTCCCAGGTGGTTCAGGCAGCTTGCCGATGTTCACAGAATCTCAGATTTTCCACACGTGTGGAACGATCCAGTCTATATCCGGAAACATCCTCACAGTACTATGGAGCTGTGATGGTACGTACTGCTCGTCGAATTCATTATAAGAATCTAGCTCCCAGAGTCAATAGAATCAACAGCAACCGTCCGTGTGTAAAGATTTAGATTTACTATAAAAGAGCAATATAAAACCGTTTGATTTTTCCTTTGGTGGAATAATGTTAAGTGTTTGGAATAATAATAATAATAATAATAATAATAATAATAATAATAATAATAATAAGCCAAAGGACACCCTGTCATACTTCAGGTGCCTGCCAGGGAGGGTCTTTTACAACACAAATCGACTTAAACGTGATCCCATCCCAAGGCAACCCCGTAGTAGGAAGATGTATCCTCATCCACTACAAGGGCCAAGGGGTGAACCCACCTAACCCTATAGACCCCAATAACAACTCGGACAAGTTAGAGCTGAACTACGCGGGCTGCCAGTCTCCGAAGAAAGTACTGTGCCAAGCGACGTGTACTACTGTCGCGAAGTAATCTTGTTCTTATGAAAGTCAGGAAATAGCTATAAGGAAAAAACTTTTTTGAAAAGCTTCATAAGATTCGAATATGTTTGTAATTACCTCCATCAAAGTTATTCTTTACCTTGGTAAGTTTATTAGTTAACAATCTAACTCAGTAAGTTAAGGACAGGTTTTGGTTTTAGAAATTCAGGGTAAGTCAGAAATATGCTAGCTTAAAATCGGTTAAATGGGTGATGATCTAATATCTATTTAACCAACAACGCTAATCGAGCCGTTTTAGAGACGGCCTGCACTTCCGGAGTGCTTTTCTTGTTTCATATATGCTGCAGACTCAATTTTAGTATTGTTGCGTAGTGTTGCTATATTCAATGGCGAACAGAGACTTGCGATCTCTCAAAGATATGGACTCTATCATTTTTGAAAGCTTTGCTATATATTGTAATTACTTAATTGCTATATAATGCAACAATCTGATGCCATTTTCAAGAAAATACCAATAAAGATTGGAAGACTAATCATCAATGACGGTTTTAATGTACTTTAGTACTAAATAATTGAATTAAATTAATTAGATAGCTTACTATAATTATTCCAAAGTTTGATATTCATTGTCACTGAATGGTTACACAGTTAATGTTTGTATTTTCAATAGCTTTCGACATGAAATAATCATTTCCGTATTGAAGTCACTGTTGTGATGTGTAAATTCACGGGTTTCTCAACATTACACAAAAAATATTTGAATACGTTTCCAATTAAACAGACCAATCACGCTGAGAATGATGCAGTATGCCAAGAGTTGATGATCTCGCGCGATCGTTCGAGAATCCTGAGTGTTATATATTCCTGCACTATGTTGTTTGGGAATTATATATAAAATAGTCTTTTCAGGCGTAAAAACTACGTATTTTGGCACAGTCACAATTATTTAATTTTAGCATCAAAAAATTACTTAATTTCTTTTTATTAGAAGGATTCACAATAAAAGCGGCCGGCATCGGCCAAATTTCGAACATCATACTTGTGTTTGTCACTTTTATGCTTCTTTTTACCGACATCGTATTGAACTTTTTCGATCAAGGAGACATAAATTCCATAACGAGATGTGGGTAGGTGGGAAATCACTAGTTAATCAATTCTAAACCCGTCTACAAACAATAGTGCTGCAAAATGATCATAGTTTTTTTAATATAGAGAACAAAAGGACAGTATGAAAAGACAGATGATATATATATATATATATATATATATATATATATATATATATATATATATATGACATTAAATATATATATAAATGACACCAGGACTGCAAGATCACTGAATATACCACTTCCTGGAAAAATGAAACAAGTAACAATACAGAAAATAAGTAGTGCACGTTACACACATTCGCATATTTAGACAAGGCCTGATGTTGGCACCCTGATGTCAACAAAAATCACTTCACTTGCGACATAAATATCACTAAAAGGCATTAACTCAGTGCCGTGAGCATGTGTTGAAATTTTCAACCACGGTTAACGCCTTTAGATCGCAGTTAAATCCTAATCGCAGTTAATTTGTCTTATAATGTGAAGTTACTAACTCCAGGGAAAAAAAACGGTGCAAAAGTAGGAGATACACTCCAGAAGACATATGTGGTGGTAAAAGATTTGATACTTATGTAATGATAACCTTTTATAACGTGCAAAAGGCAATCCGCAATTCCATGGTTCGCGTCAGCTTTACGTTAAGCCACTCACAGGAAACCCAAGGACACATAATAACCAGTTTAAAGGTTATTTTTTGACGCTCGCTAGCTAAATGATCTACGTGAAGGCTCCAACTTCTGAACCATCTTCCATGGTTCGCGTCCGACCTGCTAGCTCTTCTAAGCGGTCTCCCTCAATTTCCTCTTAAATTACCAGTCCAAGACATTACTTCTGAACGTATTATAACTAAATTCCTTATCTCAGGTGGATTCATTGCTGCACTATTTTACGGTGCATACTAACTTTAATTACTCAAATTGCACACGTCCACTTGCGTTAAGCCTAGGTCCCAACTACATTTTGGACGCACGGTTTTTAGGTTACTTGCGTCCGGCTAGGACGTAGCTAGATCGCAGGGAAGAAATCAAGTAATTAGTGAAAAGTTTGGACGTGCTGTTTGCGTCCTCCAAAAGTCGCACGATGGACGTGCTCCTCACGCACGAACTCCCACGTTTTCCCAAAGTTTTTGGCCGTAGACCACACGTAGCAGCCCGTACGTTCGGTTGGGACCTAGGCTTTATACAGTTACATGTAAGGCCATAAAACGAGTCGACTACACAAGCCAGCGACTCCTTTAAATTTATTTTATAAGTAAAGGGGTTATTTTTGAAAACTGTCGTAAAAGGAATTAAAGAAAAGGAAGAGTTGGCTTTCAGACTGCAGGGGTTGGGAGACCTTACTGCTTGATGTAAAAAGGATCTGAGTTGCTGTCCCGTCCCACCGTGGGCACCAACGTCAAAACAAAAAAGGGGGGATCGCAATCAAGGTATTGCCAAATTTTGCATAGAGGTTCCTAGTCAGAGTGATTGGTGCCGTAGTCATTCATTACCAGCTTGCTAATGTCCGTATCCTAGAATGAACAGACAACATTGTAAGTAAATTGTATCGAATAATGAGTTTTAACTTTAAAGTAAAATAGAAAAAATAAACAAAGACTATTAATAATCTTCTGGCATAGAGATACGTAGGCTATATTTATCGTCTTACGCATTTTGGATGCAAATAATGGCTTACCATTGGATCTACATTTTTACTCGGTGGGTTACGGAAAAAGACACATGTACAGCAGTAAAGTACGGTAATTATAGCTATGCCAAGACAGACCCTGAAAATAAAATGAACAATAGGTTATTGACAAGTACAAGTCGGCAGAAACAACTAAATTATTATCCTTCTGGCTTCAGCGTATTTTTTCACTGGGCTGCTCAAGGTCATAAACATTGGATATGCTTATAGTATATATGAATATTCAATTAGTTTTCGTTAACATTTAAAAATTGATATTGACGGGCGAAAAGACAGATGGAAAGAAGCGTGTATTATATGAATTTACCAGTCAAATGACGTTAGGCTCACAAGAACACCGGCTCCAACAGTGCCTGGAAAAATGTTCAACTATTTTTCACAAATTTCGGGGAATATATATATATATATATATATATATATATATATATATATATATATAAGACTCATATACGAAATAATCAGCGTACGTTAACATCATCCATTATTCCGGTTACTTGTGAAACGGGTTGGTGTTTACGGGGGTGTTCTTATTGATTTAAACATGCACTTCATCCATATCTTCACAAAAACTAAAGTACTAGAATGAACGCGCACACTAAAATTTACCCAGCAAACACACAACGTCACTATAACGTTACCATAACGTTCTTTGGTTATATTAACGTTATAGTAACGTTATGGGCAATCGTAATAAGCTTGCATTAGCGTAAAATTTTCGTATGAAAAAATGGGCACATAAATAACTATGTATATATACAGTTACCTGTGATAAACCCCAGAGAGTAAAACCCACTGGTCAAGCCGTACACCTGCCCGTACTCGGATCTATGTCTTATCTCCACCAGGTCGCCCATAATAGGAGCTATCACAGTGTTGGCAAACCCGTAGCCTATGTATATCAGGCCTTGAGGACCGATGTCTTCCCACACCGAGCTAGAGAACGGGTACTGGAATGTGAAACATCCTCATTAATGTGCAAGTTTTAATCATGTGCGTGCAAGCAAGAGAAAGCATATTTTCACCGCTGTATTCTTTAGTTTACCGATGGTAACGGCTCATGAATAATGAACGTGTGTGTGTGTGCGTGCGTGCGTGCGTGCGTGCGTGCGTATGTATGTATGTATGTATGTGTTCAGTGAATATGGTTTAGATGTTATAGATTTTGAGACTGTACTCTGGTCGGTTTAGTTTTGTAGCATAGGATTATCCCCAAGTATTGGTTACAGGCATGTGAGCAGAATGTCACCTGTACAAAGTTATTGGAAACGAACCACTGTTCCCAGCGGATTACCACTGCCATTGCATTAATTCTTCTTGGAGACAATGAGTTCATTCAATGAGTAAAATAGGTTTTCAGTATATGCGCTGTAATATTTTGCCACTCACCCATATATACCCTGCCGCGTTAAAAAGTAGCCCCAGTGCTGCAAACAACCACCTGCAGTAAACGATTCATTTTTTATTCATCACATGTCGAACTTTTCCTTGGTTTTCCGGCAAACATTTCAGCAGCGCTGCTGTTATATCATATTCAAACAAAGGTACGTGATTAAGGGACCGTTCACATGAAAAATCTATTTTCTAGAAATCTTAAAAAACATTTGCGGTATCTTGTGATCACGGTCTGTGCCCTGAATACCCCGCGGCGTAATTACTGGCAGCGCCGAGAATTAATTACAGGTTTGGAAGTAACTGGCTCGCGCTGCCCGTAATTACGCCGTGGGGTATCCAGGGCACAGACCGTGATCACAAGATATCGCAAATAAATTTTTAGATTTTTAGAAAATAGATTTTTCATATGAACGCAGCCTAAAATTGGAATCCTTGTGTTGTTATGAACGTGCACGTGTCGTTTTTAATACTGCTCATTTGTCTGAAATTGCATTGTAAGGGTCATTCACATGTACAAAGTATAATCTCAAATATACAAAGTATAACGAGAAGGGGAAATGTCTAAGATTCCTAGTGGAATGTCATTCCTGACAAATCGCTTTAAAATGAGCCAAAGATACTTGCCACCATTGTTTTCTTGCCACAAGTCCATAAATATACTGCGCCCCTAGCTGTAGTATGGCTGCTACTAAAAATACGCCACCTACAATTTGACAAAACAATACGCTTAGCTGCCATTTTGAAACCATTCTGTATGGTTTAAGGTTGAATGGCTTGTTGGTTATGGTGCAAAGATTCATTAATTAAAGTGAAATACCCCTTGAAATGGATTTTGATAATATCGACCCACAGCTCTAAATACTGGGTAGTGTGATGCAATGTCATCATTTTCGTTCAGCCAAATCAATGCATCCCAACGTCTGTTCCAAATTAGGCCCTAAATTCTTAAATTTCGTGACACAAATTTGTTCAAAAAACTTACTTTTTCCCATACACGTAACTTTAAGTATAAATTAATCTAACACAGGGTGAATCGCCCTGTGGATCACGCTTAGCTTACCTATCTCCCACACTCGCGCAAGCTGTTCTTCTAATATCCAGGGTGAAACTATAGCCAGACTAGCTCCTATACCCAGGGTGTACATGATTGTGTAGCCTAGCAAAAAATGAAGTGCTAGTGGTCAGTGCAAAGTTGTGGCAGATATGTAGGATATATAAGACGATATCGCTATCAAGAGTTTCAATCCTAAACTATTTCATAAACTTAAAATAAAACCCAGGCGTTGTTATTTCAAGTATGGTGGCGTTTAAATATTTTGGTCAAAACCAATGAATGCGGGACTTATGTAATTCCACAGGTCACTTAAAATGCTTTGACGGACGCCGTTCTTACCGAAACCAAGAATTAGGTATGGGTCTGTTAGCAGCTCCTTGTAGTCTTTCCAAGCACCGAGAGAAGACGGCTGAACCTGGAGGACCAAAAACACAAGTACAGAATTACTAGGGAAAATGAATGTTCCCTTGCGCTTAAAAATAATAGTTTTGAAATATTGTTGTCTGAATTCTGAAAGTCAACGTGTACTTTGATTTTTCTTCAAACCCCGCCAAACACAAGCACGCATGCACACGCTCTCAAGGACGCACGCAAACACACATCACCCATCCATGCCTGCATGCCTATGACTCAAATAATAATTCATTGTGCCTAAATAAAATCTAAAAAAGTATCAATTCAAATATCGGTGTTGAATTTATTTCCCTAGAATGAGCATTTTTTGCGTTCACGATTTATCATATCATTAACATTTTATCATTCGTATCGATAGGGTTATTGGAGATACCTACAAGTTTTTCAGGGGCCACAATTATAACACGGAAAACTGAAAAAAAAAGGAAATAAAACAATAAGGCCTACTTTACACAAAATAATCAACTTTCAGATCACCTCACCATCAATCTATATTATCGCTTTATATATCAGTGACATATACACGTACATGTAAATACTTGTTTAGGGTGCAACGATTTCCGTGTACATGTACAGTATACGTACCAAGTCAAGTATATCCAAATTCCATTGTAAAGATTTAATATAGAAAGCGATGAAAAAGAAGAGCCAAGAAGATAAGTATAAGGTGAGGATTTATTATGCAATGTGGAGTGCCTCAGGCAAATTACAAGGATACCGATTGCAATTGATGATCAGTTTTACTATTTTAAACACCTCACAGAGAAGAGAATAAAAGTGTGCTGGAAGTTCTAGAACTTACTTGCATCTAGGACATTAATAAATGCCAGAATTAAAAACGGCATCTCCTTTCCAAAGAACTGGTACGTGAAACTTCCGAATGGATATCCAACTGAAAATTTTAATTAAAACATATGAACGGAAAGTTTTATTGAAATAAAATTATACGAAAGGTGATTTTGGTTGCAAGTTGTAAACTTAACATAATTACAATTAAAAATGGCTGTTTTATGGGGTTAAACTGCTTTAAACCTCTTACTGCTGGTATTAACGTCATTATTGTGCCATTTGCTTTGTGTGACTACATTGGCTACCTGCCTGGATGTCACGTAGGGCTATGGATGGCACACGTGGGTTTACCTGTAGACAATACGAGACTTTTTCCACTTAGGTTTCCTTTAATTCAGGCCGTATTGCCAGTCAAAACATTGTATCAAAAGGCGTTTTATATATTGTTTCATCACCAATTGGTGAATGAAAAAAAAAACAAAAAACAAATTCACTGAAATTTTCACATTATTTGATTTTTCATATTAAGTTCTACAATTGGAGAAAGAGAGAGAAAGTTTGAAGGGAATTAACTCCCAATACAGCCCGACAAAAAAAATATTATTTTAACATTTCGGTTCAATTCCTTACACATGACTCCCACTGCATATCCCCCGAAGGCTTTGGCCATGGCTTTAGACCTCTCATTATCGTCAGTATAAACCTCTGCCAGCATAGCTATACCTGTTAAAGAGACATACATGTAAACTTGGTGATAGGACAAGGATTATGTTATGTTATGTTATGTTATGTTATGTTATGTTTTTTTTTTTAATTTTTTATACCACTTTTAAGAAAAAAATGATATCGTGGAAGCGTACGTGGCCCTGCGATTATTCCCCTACCCCCCCCCCCAAAAAAAAAAAAAAATCCTCCACCCCCCCAAAAGGTGCACGACCTGCCATTATACCTTACCTGCTACTGTGGTAAGACTACACCCCAGCCCCTGAAGAGAGCGGGACAGCAGTAACATCGGCATCCCACTGAGGAAAGCAAACCCTGAAAGAAGAAGAAGCTCAAGTTATGAAAAGCATTTAATCCGATCTTATCGTAACGTTATTAGGCTGCTGTTGTAAATTTTCCAAAAACAAATTTGGCGCCTTTTATTAATGTCAGCACAAAGACCGAAGACAGATATTGTCTCAAACTGTACTAACATCAACTGTGCAAACTCACCCAATGTTGCAAATACAGTTATTATAGAGCCGAAGAGAAGGGGTCGTCTGTGTCCAAATCTGAAAATAAAAGCTGTAAAATATAGCATGTATACAAGTGTTTTACTCTTATGACCATCTGGCTCTCTTCCAGGAGCCATTCTAACTGTTACAAAACTGGTGGTACTGGGCCCAGGCCCGTTGCCAGGTGTGTGTGTGTGTGTGTCACGCAGGTCCGTAGCCAGGGGGGGTTTCGGGGGGTTCGAAAGGACCGCCCCTTTTGCTGGGAAAAAGGTCCACTCTGGGTAAAATTTGATCTAGGTACATGAAGTTTTTTATGGGAAAAGGTCCACTTTTTCAGAAAAAGAAC